TCCCTCCCCCACCCCAGCCCCGCTTCAATGGGAGAGATGCAATTAGTGCCAGCCCTAGGGGCAGATGGCTAGGGGCCCTTGAGCATTAGGGAAATGGCTGTTTACTTTTGAGTGAAGAAGAGATGAGTATTTAATGGCCACAGTACCATGACTCTATTCAGCAGCTAAGATAAAAGTCACAGGTCATGTTTGAGGCCTGGAGTGGGCAGCTTAGTGAAGCTCAAGTGTATGTCGTCACCCACTTCCATCTACCTGGAGAAGCCTGGTACCTGAACATGGTTACTAAGCCACATGCAACTCACCCTGCCCCTTGCTTATCAAACAGAGGGCATGCACTGGACAGGGGCCAGGCACAGCATACATCCGACAGTGGGTAGTATACCTCCCGTCACCTCTTGTTCTTCAGTCTTCTACATCCCTGGTCTGTGACAAACAATGTCAGCGTCTTAAGACTCACTGACATCTGGGCTGTACACGTGCATGATCATTCATGAAAACAATAATCAAATGTCTCAAAGATTTTTGCAAGCATCCCTTCTATAAATCTGTGTGGTTGGAAAGCAAACCAAAATTAAATAGACACAAGTGAGTCTCTCCCCACAGCAGGCCTGGAGTGTGTGTTTGAAGGTTGTAGTAATAAGAAATTCACCGAGGGGGGATGTCATGTGCCTGAGATTTGATGGTTCTCAGAAGACAAATTGTTCTATGGTGTGTGTGTGTGTGTGTGTGTGTGTGTGTGTGTGTGTGTGTGTGTGTGAAGCAGACTGAGGCTTCTCTGCAGACAGTGTACCACTTTGTATGGTTAGCAGCTGGCTTATGGTGGTTGTTAACTACACTTCACAGAGTGTCCTGTTAGCACTTGTTTGGCTAAGGGTAAACACTATAGTTTAGGAATCCAGAAAAAGGAGGTAGGGTCTAAAGTCACTGTGAGCTTCAGAAAACTCCCCTGTGAAAACTGCGTGGAAGGACATTTGTACTTCCAAAGGAGAATCTGCTGGGCACAAAGCAAGCTTTTATCATTCAGCCACCCGTTTCTTAAAAATTACTCACACATTTCTTCAAAATAGACATTTCTTTGTTTTCTTAAGAGCCCAAATCTCTCCAGCCCTCAAATCGAATTCTCAACTAAAACCAGAAGGTTTAAAATCCAGTTATTTTAAGTGATGCACACTCTTAAAATGTGTGTGTCTGCTGCTGAGAAGTTTGTATTGGAGATTTAGCAAGTTGCACTACATAAAATACAGGGACACATGCTAGAAGAGCGGAGGGGAGGGGAGGGGAGGGGAGGGGAGGGTATCGAAGAGGAAGAGGGGAGGGCAGAGGAAATTTAAATTTTACTTCAGCCCCTTCTAAAAATGGCAGATGCAGAGTAAGAAAACAGCTCTGTCTGTGCAGGAGAAGGGCAGGATGAGCAGGAAGCCATGTCCTCCTGGGACCTGCAGTTTCAGTAACTTCCTTGGGAGCACTGGGTTTGCTTTCACGGGAGCCATGGCTGGATGGAAGAACATACTGTGTCATGACTGGATGGAGGAACATACTATGTCATGACTGGATGGAGGAACATACTG